CGCCTGCCCGGCTCGCTCCCCGCAGCCTGCGGTCCATCACCTGCAGACTCTCCTTCAGCTGAGGGATGAGCATCTTGTAGCGCTGCACAGGATCGAAGTCCTGCTGCTGCTGCTGCAGGAGCCCACTCTGGCCAGGTCCCACCAGTTGCGTCGGTTGCGGCTGTTGCTGGGGACCCGGGCCACCGGCAGAGCCCGGACCCGAAACACCCGCCGCGGAGGAAACGGCCGAAGCCTGCGGCTGGGGCGCAGCCATTTTCCTCGGGTAGAACACAGGATGTGCGTCAGAGGCGCGTCCGCCCGCTCTCTTCAGTCTCTTCGGTCGGCGGGCGGCGTTTGCTCGTTAGCGCAGCCTCCCAGACAGCTCAGCCAATGAAAGGAGAGGACGTGCGTTCGCCTCCCCCGTCTCACAGCCGAGGCCGGGACTGGATACCGCTCCACCAATCACAAGAGCGGTTCCCCGTTAGCCCCGCCCCCCGGCCCAGCTTGCCAATCGCCGAGAGGGCCTGGCCGCACTCTGTTTCCCCGAAGGCCTTGCGGCCCGAGGCTACCTGTCCGGGCGTCAGCGTCTAGGTGGCTGCGGGAGCGGAGCTGGGAGGCCGCGTCCGGCTGCCCGCGCTTTCACGGAGTCTCAGCCGAGCCCTTCTCGCCGGCCCGCCGCATCCCGCCTTTCCCCGCGGAGCCCAGCGCCTACCGGGGCCTGTGCTCAGCTCCGGCGTCTCTCCAAGTCGGCACGCCCCTCAGCGAGGACACAGCCCGCGCCGCCGTCGCCTGGTCGCGATGGCGCCCACCATCCAGACCCAGGCCCAGCGGGAAGAAGGCCACAGGTAGGTCCCTGCCACTGCGGTTTCCTTTTGTGCCGAGGGCTGCCGCTTACCACGTCACTGGTTCTCCCCGATCGGTCGGCCTGCCAGCTCGTGCAGTGCTCGCCCCTGACGAAGGGGCGGCCCCTTCTAGGCCTCTGGTCACTCCCCGGTCCCCTGCCATTCAGTTCTGGAATTGCACCTTCGGGATTCTCAGGAAGGGACCTACCTAACCCTCGGTCCCCTTCAGGGACGCGTGTGGGGCTCCGTCCTAAGGGGACCAGCGTCTGCCTTCCCTGACTAGAGCATCACTGCTTCGGAAACTGGGGGAGCGTCTTGGCACACGCCTGTCAAACCCTTGACATCAGTCTCTTTCTCAACCCCCAGGCCCAATTCCCACCGGACCTTGCCTGAGAGGTGAGCCCCACTACGGTTTCCAGGAGGGGTGGGCACGGACGCTGGCAGCGTTGGCAGGGCGGCGGGGGCCTTTTTTGTGCTTTTGAGCGTCTCATCAAGTGACCCAGAATGACCTCAAACTCGCTATCTTCGTCCCTGGGCCTTCTGGGTGCTGGGATCGCAGGCCTGTGGCTGTGCCCAGCAGCAGAGACCTAGGTGTTGTTTTTTTGTTTGTTTTTGTTTTAATCTTGTGTGGACACATCTCAGTTGTGTGTGGCAGTCAAAAGACTTGTTATAGTCACTTCTTTCCTTCCACCATATGGTATAGGTGTGAGTGATTAAACTCAGGTCCTCAGACCCTCAGGCATGACAGCAGATGCCTTTACCTCCTGATCCATCTTGCCAGCCTGAGGCTGTTTGTTTTAAAAATGGTTATTATCCCTATTTTTATTTTTTTCCTCGAGACAGGGTTTCTTTATCCTGACTATCCTGGAATTCACTTTGTAGGCCAGGCTGGCCTGGAGCTCAGAGACCCACCAGCCTCTGCCTCCCGAATGCTGGGGTTAAAGGCAAGTGCCACCATCACCCAGCAAGTATTTCTTTTGAGACAGTTTGGTTCTGTATCCCTGACTGGCCTAAACTTCTCAGCGACCTGCCTGCCTCCTAAGTGCCTGTGCCACCAGCTTCAGCTATTTCTATTATTTTTAATTAGGTGTATGTGTGTGTGCATGTTTTGTGCAGCTGCCTGCAGAGGCCACAGGTGTCAGATCTCCCTGGATCTGGAGTTACAGGTGGTTGTTAGCAGCCTGATGTGGGTGGGTGCTGGGAACCAAACTTGGGTCCTCTACAGGATAAGTAGTTCTTCCTCTTAGCTGCTGAGTCACCTCTGCAGGCTTGTGGTGCCTAATTCTGAGCCACTGTTTCTCTAGGTCTGGAGTGGTCTGCCGAGTCAAATACTGCAACAGCCTTCCTGACATCCCATTTGACCCTAAGTTCATCACCTACCCCTTCGACCAGAACAGGTAAGGTTGAGCTCAAGGATGGGAAAACTACTAAGAAATAGTTCACTGAAGGTAAGGACTGCTTATTTCATTGCATCTTTCTCCCTTGCGCCAGCACATTGGAGGTGCTCAATAAATACTAACAGAGAAAGCAGCATGCAATACCCTTCTGAGAAGCTGCCAATGCTGGGAACACATTCTGAGTTCCTCTCCATAGAGGCTTAGCTTCTAGGAAGGGAGGATATGGGGGTTGAGGGTGGATCAGGAAATTACAACATGCACGTTTTCCCACCCAGGTTTGTTCAGTACAAAGCAACTTCCTTGGAGAAACAGCACAAACATGACCTCCTGACTGAGCCTGACCTGGGGGTCACCATTGATCTCATCAACCCTGACACCTACCGCATTGATCCCAATGGTGTGTGGGGAGACAGGGAGGGTCTGCTGTAGGTCAACAAAGGCCAGGCCTGGGCAACCCTCACAGTCCTACCCCTCACTCCCTAGTTCTTCTGGATCCAGCTGATGAGAAGCTTTTGGAAGAGGAGATTCAGGCACCCACTAGCTCTAAGAGGTGAGGTAGTGCCACATGGGTACTGGATGGGCTCTGCCAAGCATGGGACCCTGAGGTGCCTGGTCTTCTACTCCAGATCCCAGCAGCATGCGAAGGTGGTGCCATGGATGCGGAAGACAGAGTATATCTCCACTGAGTTCAACAGATACGGCATCTCCAATGAGAAGCCTGAGGTCAAGTAAGTGCAAACAGGTAGGAAGGAAAGGGAGCAAGACCTTAGAGATGTCCAAAGGTCCCTAATGACTTTTTCTTCACTCCTAGGATTGGGGTTTCTGTGAAGCAGCAGTTCACAGAGGAAGAAATATACAAAGACAGGGACAGCCAGATCACAGCTATTGAGAAGACTTTTGAAGATGCCCAGAAATCGGTAATTGGGGGAACGGGATAAAAGCAAGTGTGGTTTATGGTCTGCCTCTTTCTGACCCTTTTTGTTCTACCAGATCTCCCAGCATTACAGCAAGCCCCGAGTGACCCCCGTGGAGGTCATGCCTGTCTTCCCAGACTTCAAGGTCAGGCTTGGGGTGGGAGGCAGGGGCAACCTCCTGTGCCTAACCAGTCCAGACTGACTTGAGTGTCTTCCATTCCCAGATGTGGATCAACCCATGTGCTCAGGTCATTTTCGACTCAGACCCAGCCCCTAAGGACACGAGCGGGGCAGCTGCACTGGAGATGATGTCTCAGGCCATGATCAGGTCAGCGGTTCTGCTTTCCACCTTAGCCTGCTTGTCGCCGGCCCCATTTGGGTGTTCTTGAGATAGGGTGAAATCTTGTTGCCCATGCTGACCTCCAACCCCTGGCACTCCTCTGGCCTCAACCTCTGGAGTGCTGGATTCACGGGCGTGTGTCACCACCCCTTTACTCTCTTCTCCCCACAATCAGGGGCATGATGGATGAGGAAGGGAACCAGTTTGTGGCTTATTTCCTGCCTGTGGAAGAGACACTAAAGAAACGAAAACGGGACCAGGAGGAAGAGATGGACTACGCACCAGATGATGTGTAAGTGTGAGGGTTAGATTTTGGGAATTCAGAAGTATGCCCCCTTCACTCCTTCCTCAGAACAAGTGGACTGACCCTGTATCTCCTCCTCAGGTATGACTACAAGATTGCTCGGGAATACAACTGGAATGTGAAGAACAAAGCCAGTAAGGGCTATGAGGAGAACTATTTCTTCATCTTCCGAGAGGGTGATGGGGTTTACTACAATGAGCTGGAGACCAGGTACTCAGCACTGTTTCACTAGTTTGGCTCTGTCCTACTTTTAGTTTTTCAAGACAGGGTTTCTCTGTGTAGCCCAGGCTGGCCTCAAACTCAGAGATCCGCCTGCCCCTGCCTCCCGAGTGCTGGGACTAAAGGCGTGCGTCACTACTGTTCTGTTGGCCCTATGTTTCTTGAGGCCACACAAGAACTACTCTGAGGGCATATGTACCTAAGGATTTGCTATATGTGTTTGTGAGAGCAGCAGGAACCTGCTTATTAATGTGGCTTGACCTTGATCTGGGTCCGGATCATAAACCAGAAAGAGAATCTTCACATAATGCAGGATATAAACAGTCATTTTTCTCACACATGTTAGGCAAGTGCCCTGCTAGTAAGACACATCCCTCGTCTAACAGTTTATTAGTTTTTCTGTATGTAATGTGTTGGTTCAGGAGGTCAGAGGGTTGCTATCAGTTGTTTTCCTCTGTTGTTCTTACTTTGTGTGCATGCATATGAAAGTCAGGATAACTTAGGGGAGAGTTATTCTCTCCTTCCACCCTGGCACTTTACCGAGTCACCTCCCCCAACCCTTCAGAACAGGTCTTAAACAAAATGCTTGACACAAATTCAGAAGTGTCACTTCGGAACTCTTCTCTGAGGGCTGAAAGCTAACTTGTCCTGTTGGCTGTGGTTTGAGTTTCTGTTCAGTACAGAGATAGCAGGCTCTGATCCTGTAGTCTGGCCTAAGAAGTGATAACAGGCAGGGTGACAATATTTTAAGTGATTATTACAACCCAGCTTCAGTCTACTCTTGCTATGTTCTTCCTATTTAAAAGCCAGAAACCCAAAATTTTTTTGCCATTTCCATGTTCCTAAGAGTTGGGTGAGGGCCTTAGGACATGGCTCAGCAGTGAAGAACACTGGCTGCTGCTCTTCCAGAGGACCTGGTTCCTTTCCTAGTTCTCACATGGCAATTAACAACTGCTGCTAACTCCAGTTGCCAGGAGAATCTGACGCCCTCTTCTGGCTTCTGAGGGCACTGCATACACGGTACACACACATACATACATTCGGGCAAAAGCAAACAACTGAGAAGTTGGGTAAATCAAAGCACAGACATGAACTCCCTGTAGTTGTCATGGATACTGCATGTACACTCTGTGCTCTGGTCTGCTCTGGGCCAACCACTGACAGGGCCCCAGGTGTCAAGTGAGAGCGGTCCAGTGGAGTCTGTAACTGAATCTTCCACCTTCTGCAACTGTCCACTGCAGGGTCCGTCTTAGTAAGCGTCGGGCCAAGGCTGGGGTTCAGTCAGGTACCAATGCCCTGCTTGTGGTCAAACACCGTGACATGAATGAGAAGGAATTAGAAGCCCAGGTAACAAGCTCTGCTGGCCCAGGACACCCACAGGGAGGCTAGTGGTGGGAAAGGACAGGGTCAGAGGTCTGACAGAACACCTTCCATCTTTTTCCCAATTCACTGGTTCTAGGAGGCACGAAAGGCCCAGTTGGAAAACCACGAGCCGGAGGAGGAGGAAGAGGAGGAGATGGAGGCTGAAGAGAAAGAAGCCGGGGGCTCGGGTAAGGGACTGGTCCCATCCTGGGAGCCCTGGGAGGGCGGGCAATGGGGTCTCACCTGTCCCTGCTTCCTCGCAGATGAGGAGCCCGAGAAGGGCAGCAGCAGTGAAAAGGAAGGCAGTGAGGATGAGCGCTCCGGCAGCGAGAGTGACCGAGAGGAGGGTGACAGGGATGAGGCAAGTGACAAGAGCGGCAGCGGCGAGGATGAGAGCAGTGAGGATGAAGCCCGTGCTGCCCGGGACAAAGAAGAAATTTTCGGTAGTGATGCTGATTCAGAAGATGATGCCGACTCTGACGATGAGGACAGAGGGCAGGCCCGTAGGGGCAGTGACAATGAATCGGACAGTGGCAGTGATGGGGGTGGCCAGCGGAGCCGCAGCCAGAGCAGGAGCCGCAGCAGGAGCCGCAGCCGGAGTGCTAGCCCTTTCCCCAGCGGCAGTGAGCACTCAGCTCAGGAGGATGGCAGCGAAGCTGCAGCTTCGGATTCCAGTGAGGCTGACAGTGACAGTGACTGAGCCTCAAGGCCTTCCGAGGAGGAGGCCAGCACAGCCAGCGTTAGGGCAGGGAAGCACTTTTCTAGTTGTCTGTTTTGTGAGCCCTTTGTTCATCCCCACCCCACAGTCTTTGCTGTTAATAAAACTAACTTCTCTTGACTTCACCAACTCCCAGAGCTTCAGTTCCCCTTCACCCGGCCCATCCCGACCCCCGACGCTCAAGGATCTCCACTTAAAGCACAAAAGCAAGCCCCATGGAGTTCCCAGGAAATGCATTGTAACAAAAATCAGAATCTTTGTTTTGTTTTTGTTTTTTTTGTTTTTTTTTTTTCCAAAATAAGCCCAGACCATTAACAATTGAAACTCCAACAAATAAGTCTTCTCCAACGGCGAGAAAATGCACAGTTACTCAAAGCTGACTCTGCCAGTGGGGCTGGGGACAGAAGGGGGAGGGTAGGGCGAAACCATGGAGAGGGCTGGGGAGTCGGAGGGTCAGGGTCCTGCCTGTCAGAGTGGGGCCGCCTGCGTCCTGCACTCTGCTGTCGGGTGGGGGGCAAGCTCTCACCTCCCTCTGGGGGAGGGTATCCCTCACCACCTTCCAGTGCCAAGCAGGGTCAGTCACCCTGATGGGAAGTGGACAAGACAAGACTAGACCAGCGCGTGGAGGTGAGGGTCCCTTGAGAGGGAAACCTGCTTATCTCAAACAGGTGGCCTTTCACCCCACGTCCCACAGGTAGTGGGAGGGGCTGGAGCAGCCTGGGAGTGAAGAGGGGAATGAGCAAAGGCACAGAAACCTGGAGGGCCGGGGTGGGGACTTGCATAGGTTGATGAGTGTGCAAGAGGTACATAAATACACCTGACACCCCGCCCAGCCCGGCACTGGGAGAGGTGGTGGGGACCACAGGCAGGTCCCCATTGCCACTCTACCCCCTGGCGGCTTCTCCCTCCCTGGGCTCAGAGCAGGGGAGGGCTACAGGCCAGGAGGCAGGGGCAAGGTCTGGGGGATGGGCAGATAGTGCAGGGAAGGCTGTGGTTTCAATTTTTTTTTTTTTTTGGTTTTTTGTTTTTTCCCAACATTTTGTATCTTTAATAACATACACAATGGTTACCAGCCATATTCATAACAAAAGTTATTCATAAAATGTATCTAAAAATAACATTTTTTTTTCCTTTTCGTGTGAAAAGCTTGAGAATGTCCCAATGAGGGTGTAGGTTGAGGGGGAAAGAGGAGTTTGGAGTAGGGGACCCTGGCTTCCCCACAGCCTGAACCCCCAAATCCCCTCCCTTCACCTGGGCCCCAGCACCAGCTCTCATCAGTAATAGGGAGCAGAGGGTTTGTGTGACTCAGGCTGGGCCGCACCTCTGAGTTATGATATAGTGTTCCACTTATATGAGGTCATGACATAATGGGGGTGGGGGGAGGTGGACAGAAAGAGGGGACAGGCAGGACAACAGAAACCCAACAATCCCCTTTCCCTGATTCCTACCCACAAGTCTTTGGCCAAAAGACCCGGGGAGCAGAGAAGGATTATGTTGGTGGGGGAAGGGGACATTAAGGCAACAGACTTCCTGACCTCACTGCGGGCCTGGGGCTGCCCACCTTCAACCTCTGCATCTAGGAGCCAGGGCTGGGATGGGGAAGGGCGAGGGGGTCTGGAGGAGGGGGCTCTGCCCTCTCCTCTCATAAAGTTCAGGCTCCCCCTGCCACTGTCCCGGCTCAGAGAGAGGCCTGGGGATTCTAAAAATGGCAGGGAATGATCAGAGAAAAACCGTTAAGAACTATATAAATATGTATCTTAAATAGGCCTAAGAAATTAATTGTAGAGAACCTCTGATAAACAGGGCAAAGAGGGGAGGAAGGTGGTGACTGTCCTGGGGAACGGTGGGAACCAGCGACAGACTGGTGAGCAGGCTGTCCACACTCCTTCCCTCACTGTCATGTTTCTGAAGGGCAGGCTGCACAAGGTGGTGGTCAGTGTCTGAGGAAGTCTGCTCTCTTGGGGAAGGACAGGTGTCAGCAGTCTAGAGGAGGCAGGGGTGGGATGGGACCAGTACGGGATGTGGGAGGGAAGGGGTAGGCAGTCTCGCCAGTCCTTGCCCCTGGCTGCCCTCTCTGACCCCCGGCCTCAGCTGAGATCCCTCAATGGGCCTGGGAGTGAGCAAGGAGTGTGCCAATGTTAAACAAAAGTTAAGAGGATGAGTAGAAAAATATCAGAATGTATAGCTGCGCCAGCCCACCCTCTCGCTGCCGAGAAGAAGCCTGTTGGGGGATGGCCCCCGCCCGCCGCCCAGGGAGCCTATGGGTGCGCTGGGCTGTGGGTCCCGTCAGATGGTGGAGGTTTTGTCTGTCCCATCTGTGGTAAGAAAGGGAGGAAGGGAGGAAGATCAGGAGCTGGTGGGGGGGCCTAAGGAAAGGCACTCACATAGCCTGTCATCCCAGGCAGGCCCTCCCTGGAGTCTGGCCTCCCCTTGGGACCCTCAGGATGGCTCCAAGTTGCTGGGTTCATAGCTGGAGATGCTGGGTAGGTGGGAGCTAGGTCAGGGGAAGAGAAAATGCTCACCACCCAAGGCGTGTTCTGTCATGCTCAGACACAGAGACTCCAGGGTGGGATTGATCTCCAGGTCAGGCCCAGGTACCGGGCAGTCTGATGGGAGAGAAGACAATGATGGTGGTGAGGAGAGGACCAACCAAAATGGGAAGAGGGAAGGAAGGGAGACGAGAGACTGCTGGCAAGGGGCTGGGGCCAAGACACCAAGAGCTCAGAAGGCATGCACAGAGGGGTGGGAGGCATGGCCGGGAGAGACCAACAGGTCTAGGGTGTCACAAAGAAGGCAGAGAGACAGCCGGGGGGGGGGGGGGGGGGGGTTGGCAATGCAGAAAAAGCCAGACTTTCAGACAGAGGAAGTGACGTGAAGCCAGGGAGCGCTCCTGGGGATTAGGAGGCTCTGACTCTGGCTCTGACTATTATGGACATGGATTCCAAGTTGCCTCGGGCAATCTGGGCACCTGCCCCAGACTCTGGGCAGCTTCTTGCTGATGGATGGCCTATCCTCTACGCTTGGTTAAAAGCTAAGCTAAAGCCCTTCCTGTGTCCACTTGGACTTGTTCCTCCAGACAGGATGTAAGCCAGGCTGAACAGGTGTCCTGGACAGGACAGCAGCCATGGGGCTTATCCTCAAAGCACTTCTCAAAAGGACCTCCTACCTGGCACCTCCAAGAGAGCTCAGGTCCCACACTGCTAAGCACTCTGCCTCATCTCAGAATGAGATTGCCTCACCTGAGCTTTTGAGCTGTGCTCCTAGGGTCTGACTCCTATCTCAAGTCTCACCTTTCACCCCAGCCATCTAAACCCTGAAGTTGGGTCAAGGAGACCCCGTCTCTCTTAAAAACAAGCTCTGACCTTGAACACTCTTTGTAGCTGACTGGTAACTGGTGAGCTGAGAACAGACTTGAGCACTCTTCCCATGAGCATCAGGGGAGGCTGCCTGACAGGTCAACACACTTGCTGGAACAATTCCCACCTTTGGCACCTATGGCACACCCATTCACTCAACACCATTTACACGACATAGGCTTACAGTTTGCCAAGCCCTCCCTGCCCTCGGATGAACACAGACTCTCTGGCACCACAGATAGAGGCCTGCAGTATTTTATCAATTCAGAAACTCTACTGGCTACAAAAAGTTTCTGACTGCAAGAACGTAGGTCCCCTGCAAATCTACGACCTGTCCAGAGCAGCCCACTGGAGCCAGCTTCCTGTCACAGACGCCATGCCTAGCCCAAGCACGCAGGAGTAGACCAGCCAGGAGCCACTCTCCCTCAACCAGTCAAGCAGGAACCCAGAGTCAGCATACCTTCCATCTGACACCTGTCACTCAACCCTCCTGACATCTGACCTCCAGGCTGGTGTGAGCAGAGGAGAAAGAGCCCACCTTCACCACCCTTTACCACCGAACCTCATTATGAGGTAGAGTCACTGGATCCAGCAGTCACCAGCTCTGACCGAACAGAGGTGAGCTGATAAATTACAATCTCCTCACTGACCCCTCAGACTCAACCCCTTCTGAGTATGAACTGAACCTATAAAGAGTGACCGTGGCACAGGAAAGAAAAGACATGTAAGCCAAGGGGAGATAAGGTATTCCGTGAAGGGGAGAGAGCCCCAGCAGACTTAACGGACAGAGACACAGGGAAATGGGAGGTGGCGCATAGCCTGGAGAGACCTGCGACAAATCCGGATGGGAGAGTGGATGTGAGAGGACGAAAGTCAACTGAGGAGGCTGACCAGTCTGAATGCCAGAGGCAGGCACCTCACCTGGAGGGAACATGAGAATAGCCTGGGGTGACGAGTGGACTGGGAGCGAGTGAGTGCGCTGCACAGAGCTGCGGCTCTGGCTGGGCATGCTGTTACTGCCTCCAGGGTTGGCAAACCACAGGTTCTGCACAGATCATGGAGAAAGTGTCAGGGTGAGTGGGAGAGACACACATCCCAGGTACTGCCACCCCAACCCCAGAAGTACTTGGACTTCCATACCAGCCAGCTCACCTGTCGGCCCTGACCCCCAAGACTGGGGCTGGTAAGGGCATGTCGAGGAGAGACACCCCCAATGCCTGAAGGGCTCAGGAGGCCCATCCTGCCAGGTGGGAGGGCCCGAGGAGGCATTGGGAACTGCCGCTGGGTCCGCCGGGCCACACCTATCCCCACAGAGCCAGCTATGGGGAGCGAGTTGGAGCCGAATGCCCAGCTGTCAGAGAGCAGAGGGCAGGGTGTTAGCTCAGGTACAAGTGTCCATAGCTCGTGTCCCTCCCTCAACTCCAGTGGGTGGGACAAAACACCAATTTGCTCTGAGAAAGGATTCCCTGACCATGTTCTTGCACTCTACATTCCCGTCTCCTCCTGACCCAAGGTGGATATGGGAAGCATAGAGAGGTTTCCTTGCTGTACCCTCAAAGCAGTTCTGCAAATGTCATTTCTCCAGGGAGAAATGTACCGTCTGGTGTGAGAAGGGACCTCAGAGCCTTCTGCATACAGGTAAGGAGACAAAGGTACAGGAGCAGGGTCTACTCCACAGACACGTGCTGGGGCTTGGCCCCGTCTGCATCCTGCTCTTTCTTTTCTGTGGTGCTGGGACGGAAGCCAGGGCCTCATGCACAGTAGGCAAGTTCTCTGTACACAATGCATGCCCCAGCCCTTGCACACTTGTATTGTTAACTGTTGGATCAGACTCTAGCTGCCTTTCTTGACTCCCTCTCGCCCACAAGTCAGGGGCACCCTCCCTGTAGCCCTTGCTCTCTGGGACAGAGAGCTGGTAACAAAGTATACAATGGGTCCACATGACGGTGCAGCAGGTAAAGGTGCTTGGCACCAAGACCACCGGACCTGAGTTTGACCCCTGGAACCCAGACGGTATAAGGAGAGAACTGACTCCGCCGAGAGCTGTCCTCTGATCCTTACCAGGCCTGTGTGTCCCCACACATAAACATACATAAGTGCTGAGAAAGAGGACAGTGCTGTGTATGACCTTGCAAGCCCTCCTCCCTCTAGCAGCTGCAAAGCCAGTTCAAGGTTCTACCTAGTGTCTACTTCTCTGTCCCACAGCATGTAAGCGAGATCATGTGGCACAGAGCTCTCGTCTCCCTGAAAATCTGTTAGAGCCAGAACCCACTTTGTTTTCCAGATATAAAAGGAAAGCTCCCTCTTCTTCCCTTCAAAGCCCCATTGTGGCTGCCTATGGCCATGATGACACATCTCCCCTAACGAAGCCTCTCTGGACTGAAGAACCACTCTCCCTCCTCAGGGCCCCATCTCTTAAGAACATTTTATGAAGGATAATCAAATGTCAGCACCTTTCCACAAATCAGTCTCCTCCCACAGATTCCACCTCCCCATCCCCCACAGTCATAGAAATCTACCTGCCTCTGCCTCCTGAGTGCTGGGATTAAAGTCCTGTGTCATCCTTTTTCTCCCTCTCTCCCTCTCTTGGTTTTTTGAGACAGGGTTTCTCTATGCAGTCCTGGTATCCTTGAACTCAGAGCTACAACTGCCTCTGCCTCTCAAGTGCTGGGATTAAAGGCGTGTACCACTACACCTGGCCTTCTTTTTTCTCTTTTAAGTTGTACATCTTGATTTTCTAGAAACTCTGCACTGGACAATTTGAGTAAGTACAGCAGGGGCCCATTCCAAATCACAGTCACCCTTTAGGCACCCTCGTGCCAGCTCCATGGGCCTAGGAAGGTGCCCACCTACCCCTTCTGCTGCCGGTAGCTCTGCATGTCCAGTGCAGCTTTGCGCGGAAATGTCCGGAGGAGTTTCAGCACTTGCTGCTTCCAGGACAGCAGCCGCTTCTTCTGTGTCTCTGTGAACGCCTGGAATGGGAAGAAGGCAATGCTGGACAGAGGACCATGCTTACATGGTTAGCTGGGGGTACGCTGACAGGTACGCAGAAGTAACTGAGTGCAGGCATCTCTTCCTGTGAGCACGAAGAGCAAGGGGCAAGGAATCCTGAGCCAGCAGGAGTGTTTTGTGGGGGACTTGGGAAACCTGGACAAGTACTAGCACCGACAACAGGTGGGAGATGGTCACTTCCCACAGAGTGTGTACAAAAGCTGAGAAGCCTTCGAAGGCAACACTGGAGAGGGTGGAGGATGGGCTGGAACCTGGGGCACTGTGGGCTCTGAGAGGGGTGGAGCCCTAGTGAAGGTCTTACCTCGTGAGTCAGGCACTTTTCGATGAGCTGGAGGTAACTGGTGATGTTCTCCTCGTCTGGTCGAGACACCAGCAGCTGGGTGCATACTGAGAAACATGGGAAAGGGCAGAGCTTAGTCCCAACATAACCTCTGCCACGCTGCAACCAGCTGGTGGGTGCAGAAGGACAAGAGACGTGGGCTGGTTAAGTCCCAACTCCTGGGCCTTGAAGGCAAGGGCTAGTACAGTACCATCAGCCCAGAGAGGCCTGCAGGAAGAGGTCTAGTCCCACTCAGTTTCAGCTATTCTGCAGGTTCACCTCTAGGGTCTTTAAAGACACATGGCTCCCCCTTCTCTAACTTGGACTTGAACTAGGTGCCTGGATTCACCTAGTGTTCTGTTTCAGGATTCTGGGAGAGGCACTGGCTGCTCTCACCTTTGCCCATCACCCGTGTAAACTGGCTGGGGATGTCTCCGTCGGCGACGGGAGCTGGGGCTGGCTCACTGCTATCAGAGGGAGCTGGAGCTGGTGGAGGAGGATAGTTCTCTGCAGCTGGAGGGTCCTTGACCTCAGTGCCCTTGTCTGTTCCAGGGTGGGTGAGGGGAGGCTCAGCACCTGGCAGTAGCGGCTCCCCCCGACCCCCATCCTTGGCAGTAGGGGTGGCCTGAAGGACACTGTAGGCCTTGATAGGAGTGATGATGATCTGCTGTAGCTCCTGCAGAGCGTTCCGCAGATTGCCACCTTCCAGCACATCCTGCAAAGGAGGATGTAGCCAGGTCAGGCACAGATGTCATGGTGGTACAAAAAATGACTACACAAGTGTGGTCAGGTAAGGCTCAGAGAAGCCCCCATGGTATGCAAGGTTCCAGCACAGAGGTAAGATAAGGGAAGCTCTGGCCCATCAGCCAGGTAAACTCTTTCTTCCCTCCAAGGAGAAAGCTGAGATTCAGATAAGATGTGAAGGAGGAGGGAAAACCAGAAGGAGGCAGCAGGGAGAGGAAAGGAGGAAGATAATGGAAGCAGACACAGGATCAACTGGAGGAGAAAGTCAAATGAAAAGATCTCTTGTCCAACTGCAACTCACCGACAAAAATAAAAACCTATCTATCAGGTCTAATGTTAAAAGATGGAGACATTCTGGAATCACAAAGCAGAACAGAGAAGGAAGAGAGGGCGGGAGGGAACCTCTCAGGCAGAACTAGGAGCTCTTTGATGACAACTTGCTCAAGGTCTCTGGAATCCAGCTGCCCATGCCTGAGGCCACCAGAGGTCGGACTGCAGGAATGAGGAGGCCCAGGCTGCCAGCTGCCAACAAGGCTGACCCAAAGCCTTCCACCTGCCTGTACCACTGGGCCTTGGAGATGAGGATACCAGGTCCTCACCTTCTCTAGGGACTTGAGGACGCTCTGTCTCTCACGAAGCTTCTGGATGCTTAGGGCTATCTTGTGCCGGGCACCTTTGGTGACGTTCTGTGATGAGGACAGAAGGAGACAGGAAACTGGATATAGGTGAAATACACAGGGGTGTCCCAACAGAGACCAGGGACAGACAAGGCTTGATAGCAGGAAGAGCACCCAATTATGCTGGCCCAAGACCTCCCCAGTGGTCCCTCGGGTTTACCTGCGACTCAAGGTGCTGCTCTGTTAGGGTCATCATCTCTTCGTAGCTCATCTGTGAGAACAAAGCAGCATACTTGTGCAAGCGGAGGCTCTTGAGCCATGAGGGCACGTCTGTGTAAAAGGAGAGAGGGTTAGTCAGGAGAAGAACACTGGTGACCGGGAGATGGGGGTGGGAAAGAGATCAGGCATAAGCCACCAGTAGCCTTAGAAACTGCAGTGAGCTGGGAGGGGTTGGGACCAGAAGCTGCCTCTACCTGCCTAGTGAGGCCCTTTCAGACAGTCTTCCCCAGCAGGACACCTGACCTACTGAGCTGCTTAGACGGCCTCCATGATTTAATCTCATCCATCAATTATCTTGAGCTCTGGCTGGCTGTGAGGGGAGGGGCTATCTATTGCCTTCAGACCTGTCCCCTCCTCCCTGAGGTGGCAGCTACAGGCAATTTTCTGTCCTTCCAGCCCGGCCCAAGCCCTAGAGAAGGGTTCTGGCATGTCCTCTGGATGCACCTTTCATCCCGCTTCCATCCTCTTGGAAAGTGTTCCGGCTGGAGCCCTGCTCCTCCGTCTGCTCACTGCCAGAGGAGGCCACACTGCTCTGTGGCGAAAGGGGTGCGTGGTCGGGCGTGGTGAAAGCAGCCCGGGCCCCAAGCTCCTCTGGACTCGGCCACTCACCAGGGGCCTGGGGGCTTGTAGGGATGAGTGACATGGAGCGCTTCAGTGGGCTAGGGTGGATTTGGCAGGGGAGACCTGGCCAGAGAAGGAAAATCAAGAGGTCAGGCTGGGGATCTGTGCATAAAAAAGACCATGGCCCACTCAATCCTGTAGTCTACCAAGGGGAAGGGAAGGAGCCAAGGGGACCCCAAGAGCAACTGTCTATAGATATTGTTCAACCTCCCACCCCAACACCCAGCTTCCCAGCATGCTGCCCGATTCCTCTGAACTCACCCTGCTCCTCAGCTCACACTCTTATCCAAACCCCAGGAGCTGTGGCTGGTATCACTGTCCTGTCTAACTGGATTCTTCCCTTCACTCTTGCTACTTACAGCCCCCTTTCCTTACAGCAGCCATGCTGATTGTTTTTAGGGGTGGTGGCTTCTTAGAGATAGGTTCTCACTTTGTAGCCAGGCTAACCTCAAACTCAGCTATCTTCCTATGTGATGGGATTACAGGCATGTACAAATCTGGCCTGTTTAGATCCTAGTGGCTTCCTTCATGCCGACAACAAAATCCAAACTCTTCCACATACCTGAAAACCCTGGTCCCTAGTCACCTCTGATCTCTCATCTTCTATAGCCCAGTCCTTGGCTCAAGGTCTTTCTAGTCCTCACTTCTCTGGAACCAACCACCCCAGTCCTCTTTTGAGACAGGGCCTCTCAAAGCATCCTTGTGCTTCTGTCTCTTAAGTGCTGGGATTAGATATATGTGATCACCCTGGTTTCGGAACACCAGATGCTTGCTCCGGAACACTTTAAGGCCACACCAAAGGATTTTGACATTTGCTCTTTTTCTTTCTGTTCCCTTTTCTGTGATACTGAAGAAAGAATGAACCCAGGCCTCCTGCAAACTAGACAAGTACTCTGCCACTGAACCCCACCACATTCTCAACTCCCCAATTGTAGCAGCTGGCAGTCTCAAGCCTCAGTTAACTGTTACCTCCTGAGCCTACCTCAAGTCTTTCATTTTGTCAATGCCTTCTAGTCCTCCATCCCAATTATTCTCTCACCTTTAAACACCAATCACAACCCAGATTCTCTTCCATAGTTGTTTGCTTATTAACTAATAAACCCCTTTGCTAGAGAGATAGTCCATGAAGCAGAGATCTGTACGTGACATTATCATATCCTCAGCAATCACAGGGGAATGGCCCAGGAAATTGCTTCCCTAGTACTTACAAATAAGCCAAGTGCATTGAGTCCCTTTTTACTTTGGGGGACAGGAAGCTCAAGAAATACTGCTATAGTGGCCCAGAACCCACTATATAGCTCAGGCTGAGCTCAAACTCACGATCCTCCTGCCTCAGTCTCTCACATATTGGGATTGTAGGTGTGTACCTGCATGCCTAGGTAATGAACTGCTTCTCTAACACTCTGTGACTGGACCCTTTGTCTCCATTTTTTCCTGGACTGAATCCAAACCGACCAGCTAAGAGGCCTGGTAACTCAGGGTGAACTCAGTACCCTCTTCCCCAAGACATTTCACACTCTGTCCACTCCATTTCTGAGGTAAGCAAAAGGTTCCAAGTTGATTCCCTAGACAAGGCAGGAGCCTCTGAACACCCCGACCTTGTCACTGTCTTTCCCCTGTCCTAGCACTGCTTCACCGTCCTTTCCTGTCAGCTCATCTGCCTGTGTCCTGCTCAAGCACCTCCGTTCGGCTACGGCAAGTCAAGCGCTTGCTGCCCTTGTGCTCGCCAGTTCTTGTACTGGACTGTGGACGTATGAAGGGGGCACCCTGGCCCAGTCATGACTGCAGCCCAGGCTCAGGGGCAGGATACAACACAGGAGCCTTCCAACTGAGTTTCAGAAAGAACAAATGAGTGCTAAGAGGGCCTGTGAGCTCAGCACAGGGAATCCACAAGTTCCCGTGGCAGCCTAGAGAGAAACAGAGAAAGCCAAAAAGCCCGGTTAGGTGAGGACAAGGCCTGGGAAGCTGAACTACTTTGCCCCAGTTCCCACAGGGGACTGGGAAGAGAAAGAGAAAGAGTACAGGACGGGGTTCCTCTAAGTGTCCCAGTGACAGCCCACCCAGGAGGCGGCCATCTTGGTACAGACCCCAAAGTACCTTGTGTTACAATATGTAACAATACTGACCTCCTAGCCAGAAAGTTACCCAAGGGAGAAGATACTGACTAGCCCACGGTACAGATAGTGTCAGGCTCCGCTACTGCCCAGGATGATCCTGTTGGAGTCCTCTACGTAGGGCTCCTTCCAAGTTTCTGGACACTGTGGACTCTGGCTTCTGCCCTATTTGGGGCCTCTTGGAAGAAGATGGCACTCTGGGCCCCAGAGCTGGAAAACCCTCAATACAGGCCTTTGTGCCTGTCTTCGTGCCCCTGGCCACCTCCTTCCTCCCTTCTCAGCCAAGAAGTGGGCTGGTGAGGCTGAGAGGGCAGGAAATTACCCTGACTGGAGCGACCACGCAGTTCCTAAGGAGTCCTGCTTGGCCTGTGCTGGGGTGGAGGCTGGCCACTGCCTGACGATTATAAAAACAGGAATGCCGGCTACAGATCCACGGCCTCGCACTCTCCAAGAAATCCTGGTCTGTCCTTGGCAGTACACCAAACTCACCCTGCCTGCCCTCCCAGGCCAATCTTTGCTTCCCACTCAAAAATATTTTAATGGTTTCCTGCTTCCTGCAACTGTCTGATGTCCAAAAGTTTCATTTTATCCTTCAAAGCCCTAAACAGTGGCCTTAAGATCTGACTTCAAATCCTAATTCTACTACCTCTGAAATCAGTGCTCTTGGACAGGATTTTGTCTCTTTGTCCATATGAAGTCCTCAATAGGTACAGGTTGGCCTAGCATGCACCAATGTGATCATTGGAAGAATCTTAAGACCTGCTGTACACTGATGCTCTCCTGGGTACCACCATGCCTTTCAATCATGGTGTGCCCTCTCCATGGAATGGCTCATTCCTTTCTCTTTTGATCCATACACCTATCCAACACTGTGAAAGCTTGGTCCTTCAAAGTTGCTTGGAGTGCTGGGGCTGTAGCTCAGTGGTACAGCCTTGTCTGTATTGTCAAGATTCTGAGTTCTACCACAAGTGTTTCCGAAAGAAAAAGCAAAAACAAAGAGCCTACTAGGGTTCTGAGCTAGGAAGCACACAGGGGGTGAGGTAGTCACTGCAGGGGTCATTTTTAGGCAGAGGCTGTGCAGTATAAGTATTCAGACTCTGAGCTCCAGAGCCATACTACCTGGATTTAATTCTGATATTATCTTGGGCAGGGGACCTCTGAGCCTAAGCCAAGTTTTTTTGTTTTTTTTTTTGTTGTTTTTTTTGTTTCGAGACAGGGTTTCTTTGTGTAGCTTCGCACCTTTCCTGGAGCTCACTTGGTAGCCCAGCCTGGCCTCGAACTCACAGAGATCCACCTGGCTCTGCCTCCCGAGTGTTGGGATTAAAGGCGTGCGCCACCACCACCCCACCTAAGGCAAGTTTTATAGTTTATAGTTATGAAGTCCTCAGAATAGCTCCCAGCAAAGTGCTCAATGTTTCCCGGTCAGAACAATCAATGTTAATATAGCCTCCAAACCTGGTACAGGAAGTGTGGTGCTTCAAAGTCAATGGGGTTGCTCGAGTTCCCTGGAAATGCCTGAGAACTCTATCTTGCCTGGCCTACTTGAACCAGTACCTGCTGAAAGGGACTGACCACCTAAGGCTAAATTATGAGCACTCGCCTTTAATTAGGTCATGCCACTCTTCATAACTTAGAAAAGCAACAGTGCCTTCCACTGTTCATCTCAGCTAACATTTCAAAAAGGCACCTTAATACCAGTTCCTGTTTTACCCAACCTCTGGGCTTAGCTGGTTAGCAGGACAGCACTGGTCAGAGGCAGTTCTGGTCCAAACTGCTCAAGTCTGAACCTTAGCCAGTTCCACTGCTTGTTCTATGTGTGATCTCAACTACATGATTTCCGATCTTTGAATCCTAAGTCCTCATTTGTGAAATCATAGGCCTCATGGTGTGTGAGAAGGCTTCACTGAGACTGTATCTGTAATAGTGCTGCTGAGAGCACCTGGCACCAATGCCCAACTATAAACAGCTGATGCTCTGCAGTGTCCAATTTACACACACACACACTTCTCATGTTGGAAGACCAAAATCCTGAGTGAGCTAAAGAGACCTCAGGTGATGGTATCCATCCCTGCCAGGGGTCCTCAGGAGCTAGTCAGGAATCAGAAATGTTGATAGGGAGGGCTGGAGAGATGTCCAGTGGTTAAAGAGTGCTTGTTGCTCTTACAGAGGACCAGAGTTCAGTTCCCAGAACCCACATGGTGGCTCACAACCATCGGCAACTCTTGCTCTACAGAACCCTCTCTGGCCTCTTTGGACATGGTATGCACACGGTACACAGACAAGCTAGCAAAACACCCACCCACCCACACATTTAAAAAAAGAAAAGAAAAAGGAAAGAAAGAAATGCCAAGAGGGTCACAGGGGCTCATGTATAGGCACATCTACTCAGCGCTCTCTCAAGCTGCCACTAGGAATATAGTCTGTGAGGCTCCAGATCTTGAGACTTTTTCAGAAGCTAGAAATCTGATTTTTAAAATGTTGTATACTGAAGTTATTTAAAACCAAATCAAATGTGAGTTCCTAAGACACATCTATAGGTCAGGTTCAGCTCTGAGGCCAGTTCATAACCTCTGCACTGCCTCCCTTATAAAACTGAGGCCCAGAAGGGTGATGGGACTTGCCCAGGCCACAGAGCAAGAGAAGATAGCTCATTCTGACTAGTTCCAAGCAGGTACAGCCACCTAGGAAGACAGCCCTCACCTGTGTTTGCATTGCTCCCAATACTGTTGATGGCCGGCGGCACTGAGCTGGATGGGTGAAAGGGTACGTGTCCATTTTCCCGGGGTGGCTTGTCCTGCCAGCCTGGTCCTGCCTCTCCAGGGGCCAGCTCTGCAGGTCCCCCCCACTCATCTGAGCCCTGGCGTGAATGGTAGGAGGGCTCTGGCCGGGTGCGGAAACCACTAGCCAGCCGCTCTTCCAGGTGGCTCAGCCAGAGGGCGAGCGCATTGCGGTCCTCCAGCGTGGTGGCTGGGTGGATGAGGGCGTAGGAGAGGAGTTGGCGGCTCTCCTCGATGAAGGCATTGCTCTCGATGGAGTAGGCCAGCACCTTCTGCAGCAGCCTCATGTACTCGGACTTGGCCTCTGTGTTGCCTGGCTGGAGCAGGGGCAGGTGGGATAGCAAGAGGGACACCACCTTCTCTTTGGACTCCTGCTGCCACTGGCTGACGATGGCTACAGAGGGAATAAGAATGAACATCAGGAACATGAGTAGACACTATCAAAAACTTAACAGCTCATGGTCTCTCCCAGTTCCAGTCTCCTCTACTTTTCCCATTTATTACCCTTGCCTCTGCCCCTCATAGAGCCGCTTCTAAAGCCATTTGCCTACTTCTGTCACTCCTGTCCTCAAAACCCTGCAGTGACCTCCAATCCACTCGGGCACATGGAAGCTCCTCCTGCTACATAAAGGCTTATTATTCCTTTGCTGCATCCAATTGCCTGCTCGCCAACACTTCCCTTCCTCCAGTAAACAGCTTCCTGCCTAAAGGGAAGTAAGTGTTAGAATAAAAGTTAAAAGCTTGTTCTCAGCCAGGTAATAGTGCACACCTTTAATGTAGCACTTGGGAGGCAGAGGCAGATGGATCTCTGAGTTCAAGGCCAGCCAGGACTACATAAAGAAACCGTATCTCAACCCCAACCCCAACCCCCACCCTCCTTAAAAGGAAGGAAAAAAAAAGTAGTTTGTTCTCTGGCATAAGAGAGTCTAGATTCTTCACCGGTTAGATTTTATTTAGGCAAGTCATCTTAAATCTCATTAAACACTGATTTGTTTGCTTTTGGAGGTGAATTCTTGCTATGCAGCCCAGGCTGTCCTTGAACCTCCTCCCAAAATACTGCTACATGCAAAACTTGAGAGAAAATTATAGAACCTGATTCAAAGTGTTGGTTTGAGATTCAATGAGCTAATAAGAAAAGTAACGTGGGAGCTGGTGGGATGGCTCAGTGGGTACAGAAAGGCACTGTTCCCAAGCCTGAGCCTGATGAACTGAGTTTTCCTGGGAGCCACACTGTGGAAGGAATCAGCTCCCTACCAGTTGTCTTCTGACCTCCATACTGCCATGGGGTACACACTATATCCCACAAAATGAATCAATAAATAACTACATAAATAAATGTTAAAAAGAATGGAATGTGACCTCCAATCAAAGATGCAATGAATGGTTGTTGCAGTTTTTTTTAACCTGGTCTCTCAGCCTCCCACTGGTGACTTCTAAACTGTCCTGTTCATACAGGTGGGTTTATCTTCCTAAGTCACACTCAAATCACATCGGTTTCTGTTTATAAGTTTACTATGGCAGCCCGCACCCAGATTCAACTCCAAGAACTCACAGCCTAACATCACCTTCATTTCTAGGTCACTCTCCACTTCTCATCAGATATAGACTCAGCATGAGTGGCCTACCCCATCTTCCTTGGAGCTCTCTACAGTGTTTATCCAAGCTCCCACAGTGAAGCTGAGATTCGAAGATTTGGCTGCAATAACCTTTTTCCTACCCAAATCCTATGTCCTGTCTTCCTCTCCACCCTTAAACCTATGGACTGAGCGTGAATCAGCCTTAAGTGTGCTAAAGAAGCAGTCTATCATTGAGCTCCACCCTCAGCCTTCTTTTTACTTGGCACTTTAAGATAGGGGCTCACTAAGTGGCCCAGGCTAGCCTTGATCATTCTATAACAGAGAGAGGCAATGAAGTGGTGATCTTCCTGCCTCAGTATTCCAATTAGCTGCTATTTATAAGCCTAAACTACAAGGCCCAGATTGGTTAGGTTGTGTGTGCGTGTGTCCGCAGGCCATAGTACATTCATGAAGGTCAGAAGACAACTTATAGGAGTCGATTCTCCCCACGTACCACATGGGTCCCAGGAACCCAACTTAAGGTGTCAGGCTTGCCTTCAAGTGCCTTTACCAATTCAGCCATCTGCCGGCTCAGTTTGGTCACATCTCCCACCTCCACTGAGCACTGGGTCATATAACTCTTGAATACCCCCTTTTTAGATTTAGTTTCTGAATTTCTAGTTCTTGATAAGAAATACAGCATGAACAAATACAGCAATATTAAGGACAAAGTCAAAGGTCTTGCATTCCAGCTGTTAGAGCACTATGCTTCCTCTTCTGTAAAAGGAGTAGAGAGTTCGAGATCTGGACTGCTCAGATTTAGGAAATGGTGTCTGTGAAGGATTAACAGTCTGCCTGTAGTAAATGTGCAGGATGTGGCTCAGTGATGGGTGTTTGTCTCCATGCTCCTCTTGTAGTCAGCCACCCCATTATCCCTACCCTGACTTCTCAATTGCTGTTGTTTAGGCCTTACACTGTAGCCAGAGGCATCTAGGACAGAGGGAAGCCTTGTCTAAACCTTCCCCCACCCCCAGAGTACTGCCAGGACCCCAGGGCTATGGGATGCAGCTTCTCCTCTGGTACTGCCAGGGGACGTGACAGAACAGCCTCAAGGGTTGGGCTCAAAGAAGGACCTTGTTCTACTGCCCAGAAAGGAGAGTAGTTTTAGATCAATGAAGGCTGACCCTGGGGAAATGTGTGTTCATGTGTCTGAGTGGTGTGGTGGGAAGGGCGGGCCTCCCAGGACTGGGAAGCATCAATGAGCACTGGAATGAGTCCAAGGAATGTCCACAGCCTCGGGCCCCTTGGGGTGGGCCCAGCTGGGGCTGCAGATGAAGGGTGGGGATGAACTTCTAGTTTCCTGCCCAGATCAGAAAACTCTGGCCCAGAGCTAAGGTACAGTAGGGGCCCAATGAATACCTGCCCAATTGAACCCAGATGGTCTGTTGTTAGGTAGTGATGTCTACGTGTATAGTGTGCCTGCCCTCTCTGGAATCTCACAAACTCAGTCATTCTGCCTTAAGGTCTGACAGAGCATATTCTGCAAATTCAAAAGGAAAAACCTGTCTGGGTAAGGAATCTGAGCCGGATGGTGGTGGCGCACGCCTTTAATCCCAGCACTTGGGAGGCAGAGGCAGGCAGATCTCTGTGAGTTCGAGGCCAGCCTGGTTTACAGAGTTCCAGGACAGGCTCCAAAACTACACAGAGAGTGTCTAAATAAACAAAAACAAAACAACAGCAACCAAAACAAAATAAAAATCTATTTCTGTTTCCATGACTTAGTATATTTAATAGTGGGCAGGTTAGGTTATTTACATTCTCTAATCTTGCTCATCTGTCTCTGTAATGCTGGCTGTAAAAGCCCTGAGGTCCCAGGGTTATAGAGAGTCAACAGAAGGATGCAAAGCACCTTGCACTAAGCAAGTGCTCAGCACATAAACCCTTACCTCCACTACTCCTGGGTAGAAATCTTCCTCCAGGCTGTCTTGAGGGTGCTGAACCAGTGGTTCACTTAGCAGAGAACATCTGGGACACCCCCTTAAGGTTCCCCACAGGGGTGGGGAATTTTACAAAATTATTTATCAAAAACAGACACATGTCTGGCCTTAGAGTTAAAGGCATAATTTGTAGTGATGAAATTCTGGAGATGGGTGGACTGGGGTTGGGGGACCAAGCAATGCTCGGGTACAAGCTGCAAATCTGAGGACATGGAGAGGGTAAAGGAGACTGTGTGAGTGCCCTCCTTAGCACAACGGCCAGTCACAGGGCAGGACTGACCAGACAACCCAAGCTAAGTAGGTCATGACCCTGGGTCCTGGCAAATCATAGGAGCCAAATATATCTTTGAGACTATCATAAGAGCAAACCCATTTTTATGTGCTTAGCTATTGCAACAATCATGTTGGCCTCTGGCACTAGTCAGAGGGGCTGGGGTTTGGCTCCAGACATACCCTTCTCTGTCTCACCCCAGCTCACACAGACATCAGCGAGGACCAGGGGTTCACATTTTTGTTTGATGAACTATGTCAAAAAAGCCAGAAAGGGAAGGGTGGGGCATCAGTGGATGAGCTCTGATGAATCACTTGCCACGGCCCCTTCTGACCTCAGTTTCCCCACCCAAATTCAGGGAGCCAGAGAGGGAGAAGCTTAAACCTGCTGGATAGCAGGATTGACTCAGAAAACTGGACATGGGAAGAAGTGCAGGAAATGTAGCCCAGGAAGCTGTAGGATGAGGGAGAAGAGATCTTAGCTGCCTAGGCTCAATTTCCTCCTACCATGGGAATCCATGGGAATTCCTATGGTCCAAGGCACACTCGGTGGGAAAGAGGACCATGATTGCAGTTAGAGGTCCAAACAGCAGAGAACTGGGACAAGCAAGGAACGCTAGCCCTCTCTGTCCTGGTTGGTTTTTTTGTTAACCTGATACAAACTGGAATGAATGTTTACAGAAAAGTGGCCTGTGAGACATTTTCTTGGTTAATTTTCTGTGGGAAGGCTCAGACCACTATAGGCAAGTGGTCCTCAGTGGTACATAAAAGAAGATCAAGCAAGCCATGGACAAAAAGGCAGGAAGCAGTGTTCCTCAGTGGTATCTGCTTCAGTTCCTGTCTTGATGTCCCTTCAGAATGGACTGTAAGATGAATAAACCTTTCCCTCCCCAAGTTGCCTTTGATCAATGTTTATCACAGCAATAGAAGGCAAACTAAGACATTCTTCTTCCCTGCTCAGGGACCTGGAGTCCTGCTTTTCTTTTCTGGTCTTGGATGTCACCTCAGATTCTACTTCCTTAAAACTCATGTGGCTACCTGGGCTGGAGTCCCCTTCCACAGCGGTAAACCCATTTCCCTACTTCTGGAAAGACATTCATGACTGCTCGCTCACTCACCACTTCCCTGGACACACCCAGAAGCAGCAGCAGCAGCACCCAGCCTGGTGCTTCTCCACTGGGCGAATATTAGGGCCAACCCTGAAGTATTAGATCTAAGAGAACACTAGCTTCATTATTTTTAGAAAGTCCCTAGGGGACTGGAACATGAAGTCAAGACTAGGACACACTAAGGTCAATTTTTCTCAGCTCCCTGAATTATCTATGAAGATGGACAGCAAAGACTCAAACTCAGAGGGCACACTGGAGAACTGGAGGAGGAAGCAGAACCTCTGCCTTACTGCTCAGGCATCCTGATCCCAGGAGAGTCCTTCCCACCACCCCCCCTTAAGACAGGGTTTGTCTTGTAACAGTCCTGGCTGTCCTGGAACTCGCTCTGTAGACCAGGCTGGCCTTGAACTCAGAGATCCGCCAGTCTCTGCCTCCCGAGTGCTGGGATTGAGGGCATGTGCACCACCGCCTGGCTGCTCTGAGGGGATTTTAAGAGAGTCAAGGCTGTGGTGGTGGTGGTGGTGGTGGTGGTCCACGCCTTTAATCCCAGCACTCGGGAGGCAGAGCCAGGTGGATCTCTGCGAGTTTGAAGCCAGCCTGGTCTACAGAGCAAGATCCAGGACAGCCAGAGCTACACAGAGAAACCCTGTCTCGGGGGAAAAAAAATTGCCAGGCGGTGGTGGCTCACGCTTGTAATCCCAGCACTCAGGAGGCAGAGGCAGGCGGATCTCTGTGAGTTCAAGGCCAGCCTGGTCTACAGAGCTAGACCAAGATAGGCTCCAAAGCTACAGAGAAACCCTGTCTCGAGAAACCAAAAAAAAAAAAAAAGAGTCAGAGAAACTTCCACTGGAAGTTTCACTGGAACAGATACCTCTTAATTGAGGACTAGTGGGTCAGCTGAACTCAAGAGTTGGCGGGCTGGGTAAGTATGAATCTTTCTGGGGAGGGGACAAAAGGGTCAGATACCATGAGGAGGGCAGCCATTATGTTTTGATTATTTTTGTTAGTACTGAGGATAGAACTCATATTTGCTAAGCAATCTCTCTACATCGACTATGCATTAGATACTAAGAGCTACTGCTCTAGAATGTGCTGGAACCTCCTCCATAAAGAAAGTAGTATTCGAAGGCCTCCCTGATATGCGAAGGCCTCCCTCTCGTCCCTCACTCTGTTCTCCTTACCTCTCTACCCGTCAAGTGCCAGCTTCATGGAAACCATCTCAACACATGACAGGGATGTAAGACCTTGATTCATACATTCACTATCATGCAATTCATTCCGCAGTAGTCCTCCAGCCTTGGCTGGGCCCTCCCCAACAAGCCAACGTAACTGTTAAGAAAGGGCCTTGGGGTTGGGGATTTAGCTCAGTGGTAGAGCACTTGCTTAGCAAGCGCAAGGCCCTGGGTTCAGTCCTCAGCTCTGGG